CTACAGGTAAGTGCCAATCACTTGCCTGAAATGTGCCGAGGAAGAGCATGAAACCAAGAAAGGGGAGAGCTCCTTTAATGGCGGCCTCTCACTGGCTGGATCCGCAGCCCGAGAGGATCTGTGGAGTGGGCGACAGGTGGAAAAGCAGAGGACGGGGCTCTATGTGAAGATAGCAGCAGGCAAGTTCTCCAGCTACCCCCACGTGCCCCACTGAAGAAGCCGCATGTGGTCCTTCTGCTGCATCTTGAAAGGGGGAATGATTGCATTCCTGCATTACTGTGGTATACCTACTTAGGTCGCCACCTCGGGAAAACTGCTTGCCATCTTTATCTATGGAAGTCGGCATCTCAGGGAGAAAGTGGGAGTTTAAGCGCCATGGCTGGTGGGAGGACGGTCTAGTCTGCCCTGTTACCTCCAGGATGAGGAATCATGGGAGGGAGGAGGCAGCCTCAGAGCCCAGATGGAGACATAAAGTTAGACACCCTGCATGGTTATAAAACACCGCACCTGCTGAAAGTTTGGATGACTTCCTACTGCCCTGGAGGGCAGTGTTAAGGGCCGAGAAGGGAAGCTCTGCCCTAGATGCTACCACAAAACCCTGCAGCACCGCAGAGCAGCCCCAGGCATGTTCCTGACTTTTAGCCCTGTGTGGCTGACCTTTGCAGCTTTGGTGAGAAAGGCTGGTGGCTCACAGCTCTGCATTCTGTGGGCCACCCGACTCCCCTCAGATGTTCAAGGAGCACTGAGTTGTTGCGTTCTCACAAACCCCAAATTTAGATGTCTACATCTTTTAGTTCTGATTTATCTCAATCTTTTGCTTTTATTGGCCTCAAGCTGCAACATTCAGAGAACCCCCTCCCTCCTATGTACTCAGCCCCATCAGCACAGCATGGAACCCAACTGTCCCTTGTCCAAACTGCAAACCTGGATGCACTGAACGGTGATTCTCCCAAACGAAAGCACTCAGCCCCGAGAAGGGCCACCTCTGTGCATTGCACATCAGAAGGCACAAGGCTTCCCATGCTGTGGTTAAGGCTAGAAATCCCAGGCTTCAGGCAAACAAGCAGCAAGCAAACCACAACCAAAACCGAAAGTAAAGTCAGATGTGGTGTCCTGGGTGGGTCACAACTCTGGTTCTAATTCCATGGAAGATGGTCACTGAATTTTGGTGTTGCAGGAGCTGGGGACAGTCTTAGAGCACTCAGACTGCTCATAAACCCCTGCAACAACGCATGGGATTCCATCCAGGAAGCAGGATCTTCTTTTCCTTTAGCTAACCAGCCTTCCCGCTCAGTCTATCCTAACAATAAAGTGGGAGCTGGCCTCACCATCTCCAGCCCGTGTATATCCACACGCCAGAGTCCTGCTGGTAATTTTCGCAATCTCCACACACGGGGTTCTGCTACTTGTCACCCAAGGGGGGGTCTTCATTCTGTCATCTGGGTACAAACTAGTAAGTTTGGGTCTGGGGAGATTTTACATGCATCCCCTTGATCTACTGTGCACACCGTCCTCACTGTCTGTGCTCTGAACACACTAAAGTCAGCACGAGATTAAGCCATGCCATGGGACCTCTGAAAGTCAAAGGCATGAATTTCCTGCCTATCCTGCATCGTGGTTTTTTAGTTGTTTCACCCATAAGTGTGGAATTTTACTTCTCTGAGGAAAAAAAAAAAACAACTTAGGTGTATGGGTGTTCTGCCTGCACACACAAATACACACACACACACACACACACACACACACACACGGAGATACACACACAGAGAGAAAGAGAGAGAGAGATAAACACACATACCAGTGCTCAGAATAAGAAAGAAAGATGGGGGAGGGAAAGAGAGAACCAAACAGTATATTATATTGAAGTATACCCTAAAATGTAATGAATTTTGAGTACTTTCACTTCATAAAACAAATTATAGCCAAATCTTCCTAAGGTGCATATCTGAATCTTTGTTTCTTCTTGTGCACCATCCAAACATGGCAGGATCTACAAGTAGAGATAATTTGGGGTTGGCATAATATTTTTACATGCTGTAGAATCATATTGCCACCTAAAATAATCTACTAAGTCAAATATCTCTTATATCTTATTAAAACAAATGCCAGTTAAAATACATCTCTACTGAAGTATTCCTGAGGATGTGTGGACACCGAGCAGCAGTGTGGCTAATTCAGGAATGAGGACAAACACTTCCAGGCTTCTGTGTCCGGCCCCAAGGCTGAGGATGAGCAGCTGCTTGCCCATCAGACCTCATCCTTCATAGCATCTGTAGCTTTGGGTTTATTGTTCTTTAGTGGCTGCAGTATTGGTCACATTTCTTTGGGGGATATCAGGCTACAAAAATATAAAGTGTCTTCCTGGCCTTGTCTGAACAGCATCCTAAGGGTTCCTGTGTCTAGGAATCTGAGGATCATGTCAAATCACTGGACTACTTGGTGGGCAGGGCTCACGAAAGATTTTTAAAGAATCGTAATCAGTCAAGAGGTCGCCGAGTCAAGTGGCTGATGCCAACGAAATAACAGTTTGATGCCCACTAATACAGACTAAACGCAGCCCCGTTACCCAGCAGGCCACTTCTTACTGATTTCATCACCTTGACAGCTTCACGTCTCGTAATCTGCAAAGCTTCTAGGTGGGAGAAGCTCTGTCCTCCCCTAGGATGTGTGTGGTGGTAAGGAACAGCAACTGCGCCTTGCCCTGGAGGGGGACATTCTTTCCTGTTCATTCTTTCCCTACAAGGTGCTGCTTCTACTCTGTTCTGTAACAGTAGCGATTACTATCAGAGAAGCTTCAAAACAAGATAAACTTACAGACAGATAGAATAGGGGTAACTAGATCAGTATCGTATGAACAACTTCTCTAAAGACAATAAGAATCCCACATTTTACTCATCATTAGAAAATACGCAGACGGCTTCTTAGGGTGACAGGTGCAGGTGAAAATACAGATTATGGGGTTCTTGTAACCCCCTCGCCTACCAAAAACTCTAAATTTGTACCACAGCTCTTTCGGACACTGTGCTGATAGATATTTTAATGTTACACCAAAGAAATGTAAATGATTTTTTTGTTTTTCTGCGTCTATTCTAGGACAGGGAGGATGGTTGTGTGGGAAAAGCACTTGTCAGAGCATGAGGTGAGGACCAGAGTTTGGACCACCAACATCCAGATAACTGGTTGCACGGTAGGCAGAGGAGTCAGCAAGCTGAACTAACCAGCGAGAGACCCTGCTTCACATATAAGGTGAAACATGACCAGAGAAGATGACATCAGCCTCTGGCCTCCACAAGCAAAGGCACCGAACAGTGCCTGGGCACACCGCCACGCGTGTGCCCTCACTCACATACATGTGAGTGCGTACTACACATCACATACAGAAGTACACAAAATTGCCTGTTTCAAAACTGAGTTTCTCCTCTGGTATGATCTCATGTTGAATTCAATTAAATCGTTTTGTGAGAAATGAACTTTTAAAGTGTTAGCTAAAATGCTAACACTTCGGATCGTCCTGTGGCCAGCCACCCCATTCTTGTGTGTAAACGGCATCTCTATGCACTGGACCATAGGGCGGGATTCCTGACTCCGGACAGTTGTGATAGGTTGGAAAACTGTTTGCCTTTAAAGCCATGCTTTAAACTTCAGTGAAGTGTTTATTCTCGGATCTTCGTCTTCCTCTGCTTGGCCACCTACACCTCATTCCTCAACCAAGTCAGTAAATGTCTAAAATTGGTGCTGGTTCTGGTAAACACGATGATGACATCAGCCTGTGTTCCAGCTCCAGAACAGTGACCACTCAGCCACTTGTGGCCAGTTAGGTCCCAGCAGCACTGCCTTGTCTGCACAGGCTCCCTGACAGTCACCATGGGATTCTCAAAGGCTTGCTTTGTCAAGATCAGGGATCAGGGAGGGTGGAGGAAAAGAAGAACCACAGAGCTGTTTCAAGGGAGATCTAACATCAGGTTGCACAGCAATATGACGTCCCTGACTTCACTGAACTGTACATATGTGATAAGTGGCGTGCTAACTTTGTGAAAAGCTGTACGTGTGTGTGTGTGTGTGTGTGTGTGTGTGTGTGTGTGTGATGGGCAGCAATTGCCCACACCGCGGGGCTGCTGCTCTGGTCATCTGTTAAGTCAGGTTGCCTGCATCCTAAGTAAGCATCCATTCTTTGCGAATTAGCAAACCGCCCTTAACCACAGAAGTTTCTAGCTACAAGTGCCCCAGAAGAAAACCTCAAAAACACCATGTGAGAGTAAGGGATAGGGATCATGCGGAAGCACCGCTTCCTCTGGCTGGTTCTTTGATGGACGGTGTGGGGAGCCAGGGACTGAGGCATCCTTAACCTCTGACTCTTGGATCACATAGACTTGCCCTTAGGAGCACAAGACCCCAGTGATAGCTCGCCAAAGGGAGGGTGTTACTGGGCTGAGAGTCCTCCACTGCGGTGTACACACTGTCTACTGGCTTTCCAGAGGTAGAGGCGACTAAGCCTTCCCAGTCTTCCCCACAGACAATAGCTAACTGAGGAAGGACCTTTAGCGTCTGCGCAGAACTACAAGGTGCCAAGGTTAGCTGCTGAGTGGAGGGGCGGCGGCGCGGCTGAAGCCCTAAGAGCGGGAACCTGCCAGGCTCTTGGGTACTGAACTTCCTTTTGCAGCAGAAAATCAAGTTCGGGATTAGAACTAAAACACGGGTCGTTCGACTAAAGTTGTTATCACATCCGTGTTCATAACGCAGGGAGCAAACGTCAGGCTTCACTGGCCCTGAGACGGCCCTATAGACTCCTGCGCCCAGGTTGTCCACACTTTCATGTGCGCCTGGAAGGTCCGGGCAGGCTGGCACTTGCAAGCTCCACAAGCGGCTGAGACGCTCGGCTGGAGGCTGCAACCCGAAGCTGCAGGAGCAGCGGCCTGGCCAGCACTCGGGGTGCCACACACTTTCAAAAGTTTCCATTTAGCGCTTATCGCTACTAACGCCCCACCCTCACAAAAACTTACCAATAGTGGAGACCAGCAGACAGACAGCACACACATGATTCCCATGAGTTGGATGGCGGTCTCGGTGGTAATCCGGCCCCACTGGGCGCTGGACTGCGAGGCGGCGGCTTTGGCCCGGCAGCGGGATACTAGGGCTTTGATGGTCGCCAGGTTGCAGGCAAAGGTGACTATCAGAGACAGCAGCCCCAGGCATGCAAAGGCGGAGGCGAAGGCCACGCTGCCCGGCTCGCGCGCAGGGTCGGTCTCGTTGCCCGTGGGCCCGGTGCTAATGAAGCACCACGTGCCGGGCCACTGCACGCTGTAGCGGCCCACCCCCAGCACCGGCAGCAGTGCGAAGGCGAGCACCGCCAGCCACACGCCTAGCAGCACCGCGCGCGTAGCGCGAGTCTTCATGTGGCTGGCGTACCAGTGCGGCGCGCGGATGGCCAGCGCACGCTCCACGGCCATGGCACTGGCCACCAGGAGCGAAGACAGCCCGAACACCGTCATGGCCAGCCCGAAGAAGGTGCATAAGCGCCCTGACGGATCGAGATGCTCCCAGCGCCGCTGAGACAGGTACACGAGGATGACCACCGGGCTAGTCAAGAGCTGCCCTACCAAGTCGGTGAGCGCCAGCCATCCAATGCACAGCAGGAAAGACTTCTTGCGCTTGCTCTCGCGGCGCCGGTAGCTGCGCGACACTAGCAGCATGGCCAGCGCGTTTCCCACGAAGCCGGTGACCATCATGGTAATGGGGAAGGCCACGGACACCGAGCCGCAGTCCTCCGCAGTGCTTGACAAGTTGCTGCGCGTTTCGGCGGAGCGACCCGGCGGCCACATGCCGGCCAGAGTAGCGGGGCCGCGGAAAGGCTCGCGGGGCGAGGGTCTCCTGGTTCAGGTGCGGGGAAGCGGCGCGCGCGGGGCGACGGCGCGGGCTCGGGCTCTGCTCTCCATCACCCGCCGTCGCCCGCGCCCGGCTGCGGGGTCTCTGCAGGCGCCGCCCGACGCTGCGCGAGGCTCCACCCGCGGCTGAGAGCCCGAGGGGCGGTGCCGCGCGTGGGCAGGCTAAGGGCGGTGTCGGCCGGGATCACCTGGCGCAACGCCCCCTCGGCCACACTCACTAGCTCCGGGGCACTTCCCGCGTCCTACTCTATAAAGCGCTCAACCGGTTCCACGTCTGACACTGAAGAAAAGTAAGGGCGAACAATGCTGATTTCTAATCACGTTTGGCTACCATTGAATTCTTTTTGTATTTGTTTTACTTAACAATGAGACCCACAGCTGGAAAAGAATAGGGATGAGCTTGCGTTTTAAGTCCTCTTCATATTCATATTGCCTTATTTACTTTGAACCAATTCCAAATTCATATTGGGAAAGTATTTTTCTAGGATAATGTCAGTTTAAAAGTTTAACAACAGCTGACGTCATTCTTGGATGTAAAAGCAAGCAACCACATGGATGAGAGTACACACTAAATTCACTTTTCCAGCACCGAGTGAAATTCTAGTATAAAAAATTTAAGAGCATTTCAGAATTCATTCATCAAAGAAAATAATGCCATCCTATAGTTAAGTAAAAAATGTCTATTTACTAATAGACTCATAAATTAAACTCTATTAATTTGTAATATTAATTAAATATTAATGTTTATATAATCTCCCGCGTCCCACCGTGTGCGCTTGTGTGTGTGTGTGCGCGCGCGTGCGTGCGTGCGTGCGTGTGTGTGTGTGTGTGTGTGTGTGTTTGCATGGAGGTCAGATTTCAACACTGTGACTCCTGGGGACTCTCTCCCCACACCCAAACACTGGGGTAATAGCACAGCAGCTAGGTTTTTACTCAGGTGTTGGGAAATCTCAATTCAGGTCTTCATGTTTTAATGGCTAGCAACTCTTATTTACTGAGCCATCTCCCCAGGTTCCAGAGCTTACTGAGAATGCCCACAGTGTCTCTTCTTCACCTTAATTAAGTTTCAGTAACCCTTTCCTGTTACAGCATTTTTCCATCCCTTGTTATCTACTTTTTAGCTGTTCACCTTGCAAATAAACAACTTTGAGTCTCTGATGGTTGGTTTCCTGTTGGCACTTTTTGCTATCTGCAAGAGTTGGCTGAGTTCGTCTGAAACAACACTCCCCTCTAGTGACTGAAAGGCTAACATGCACTCAAAAATTTTTAACCTTCATTGCTGTGGCTCTATATTAGAGCTTGATGTCAGGGATGGTGATGCCTCCGGAATCTTTTATAGTAGAGGATTGTTTTGGCTACTCTAGGTTTTTCCATATGAAGTTGAGTATTGTTCTTTTGAGGTCTGTGAAGAATTGTGTTGGGATTTTGATGGGGATTGTATTGAATCTGTTGATCGCTTTTCATAGGATTACCGTTTTTACTATGTTGACCCTACCTATCCAAGGTGTGGGAGATCTTTCCACTTTATGCTATCTTCCGTAATTTCTTTCTTCAAAGATTTAAATTTCTTGTCGTACAGGTCTTTCACTTTGTTGGTTAGTGTTACCCCAAGATATTTTATGTTTTTTGTGGCTATTGTAAGTGGTGGTGTTTCTCTGATTTTTTTCTCTGCCCTTTATCATTTGCATATAGGATGGCTACTGATTTTTCTTTTTCTTCTTTGAGTTGATCTTGTATCCTTCATCCAGCAACTGATGTAAACAGATACAGACATCTACAGTGAAGTACTGGGCTGAGCCACCGGAAACTAGTTAAAGAGAATGAGGCGCAATGATATGAGTGGAGGGGTCAACACCATGATGGGGATACTCACAGAAACAGCTGATCTGAGCTAGTGAGATCTCACTGACTCTGGACTGAAAGCAGGGGAACCTGCATAGGACCAAACTAGGTCCACTGAATGTGGAAGACAGTTATGAGGCTTGGGCAGTCTGTGGTATCACTGGCAGTGGGACCAGGATTTATCCCTAGTGCTTGAACTCGCATCTAGGAGCCCATCCCTATGGAGAAATATCAGTCTAGATATGGGGGGGGGGGCTTGGTCTTGCCTTGAAGTGAAGTGTCAAACTTTGTTGACTCCCCATGGGAAGCCTACCGTTTCTGAGGAGTGGATGGGGGAGGGGTGGGAGGAAGGGTGAGGTGAGAGGAGAGGGAGTGGGAATGGGGATAGCTATGTAAAATAAGAAAAGTGTATTAAAATTTTCTTAATAAAAAAAGAAAAGATTAACCTTGTGTAAGTATATGTGTAAATGTGTTCATGTGTGTATGGATGCCCATGACTGTGGAGGCCCAGGGACAATCTGGGGTATCATTCCCAGCAATGCTGTTTGTAATGCTATTTCATTTGTATTTTAATAAATAGAGTTTGCCTGAAGATCAGCCCTGCTGGTCAGCTTTACAGATCAGATAGTGGTGATATGTATCTTTAATCCCCGTAGCAACACTAGTTTGCCATAGAAACCGGGCAGTAGTAGTGCACGCCTTTAATCCCAGTCCTACAGAGGAATATAAAATGGGAAGAGACAGTCTCATTCTGAGGATTCCTGGAGGCAGAATCATCATTTAGAACTGAGGTAGAGGTTAAGAGCCAGTGACTGGCTATTTTGCTTTTCTGATTTTCAGGTTGAACCTCAATTTCTGTCTCTGGGTTTTTGTTAATCGTGCTACAGCTTTTCACTTTCTTTGAGGCTGGGTCTCTCATTGCCTGGAGCTCACCAATTGGGGTAGAATGACAGTGAACTTCAGGGGTTTTTGTCTCCCATTCCCCAGTGCTGGGTTTATACATCCACACCACTAGACAGAGCATGTCCACATGGGCTTTGGGGATTAAGCTCAGCCTTGTACTTGAAAAGACACCATTCCCCCTTTCCTCGTTAAGGACAGTTTGCCAATGGTCACTATCTGCTTTTCTTAGGGAATCTGATTTCTTTCTTAGAAATTTAGTCATTAGTAACAGTAATCATTGCCCTCACCCCGAGTTCACAAACTTGCATCTCGTATTTGCCAACCAACCAGTAGAGACTGAAATTTAAGGGTCGTGTTTTCATGTTTCAAAAAATTTCAAGCTTATATTCACATATCATATTTTAATATTTAATGTATATGAACTTACTTCATATTGAACTTCCATAGTAACACTAGCCTCGGAACTAGACCCATTGCCTTGTGGAGAACCTACAGTTAGTACTGAAGTGTATTTTTCATTCTTCGCCCATTTGGTGAGCACTCACTGGACACCTGGTCTGTCAGATACTGTCTTCGTCTTAGAGATACCAACCAACACATTGAAGTTTCTACAGTTAGCGAATTTAACATTAAAACATTGATTTTCAAAAGCCCCACGAAGGAAGGGAAGGATTCAGATCCCAGAGGCTTTTGTCTTTGTAGAGTGATTTGTTCTGGAGGTGGCATCCTATAACTTAGTGAAAATTATACATTGTAGTGACTCTGGATTGCACTTGCTTTCCTCCTGTGGACACTTGGCTGTCCCACTGGGAATTCCTGTCCTGAGGTTCACACCTCTTTCTATCTCTTTCCTTCTCTCAGACCTGCTTTTATGGCTGTGTTCACTGCAGATGGACTTGCTCTGTGCTTCTGTAATTTGCTGGTCAGTGATGGGGACCACATTCTCTGGTTCTGATTCTAAGGTACTTCTTTCAATCTCCTGCTGTGTCCTGAATTGGCTGATGTGGGAGTGTCATATATCAATCTGTTGATTTCATTGGTTAAGTAATAAACACAACACTGCTTGGCCTCATAGGTTAAAGCATTGGTGGGAGGAATAAACAGAATAGAATTCTGGGTGGAAGAGGAAGTGAGGTCAGACTCTGCTCTGCTCCCGGAGAGACTCTGCTCTCCAGAGCACAGACACCATGCTCCACTCTCCCAGGATGGACGGAGGCTAGAATCTTCCTGGTAAGCGCACCTTGGGGTGCTTACACACATCATTAGAAATGGGCTAGTCCAGGTGCGAGAATTAGCCTGTAAGGGCTAGAGTTCATGGGCCAAGCAGTTCTTAAATGAATACAGTTTGTGTGTTGTTATTTCGGGCATGAGCTAGCCAAGCGGCCGGGGTGTTGGGGACGCAGCCCCGCTGCCGCTCCCTATTTCAACAATTGGCCATGGTGGGCAGACACTCCTTTAGAACCATCCATGCTGTAGACATGGTCGCCAGCCTAACCATGTCAGGTCTGGCTTGTGACTGTGTTTCTCCTTCATGGAGTCTCTGCTCTTTGGACAAAGTTGAGCTGTGAAACATGGATCAGTGTGGGTTCTTTTGCATCTTTTCTGTGGGCCCAATTGTGAGAATCTCTTCTTAAATCTGTGACTTCAGTACTGGCACCTCTCACCTGTAAGGCTGTGTCTTCCTTGTACCTGCTGTCCAGAGTGTTCTCATGAAGGTGGAGCAGCAGCCTCATTCTAATAACGGTTCTCAGTCCCAGGCTTCCCTTTTTCTTTTAAAATTAACCCCATTTTGTCTTGAATAAAATTTAATTTAAATATTTTTGATATTTAAAAACTAACATTTATTGGCATCTTCAAGGCAGTGTGATATTGGCATACAGAGACATTGCTCTTGTTAAAGCGTCAAAACGTCTTATGATGGTTTCAGAAGTAAAGGATATATATATATATATATCCTTGAGCATACACTATTCTATCCCAAGTACATGGAAGGAACTAAGGTAGATATAAAAGTCAGTGAACGTTCTACAACTATACAAATGAAATAGATATGAGTATGAACTCTTTATTACATATACACACACCACAGTAATCAATTATTTTTTTGTCACAGGTGTTAAAAAGAACAGTCTCCAACAAATGCTATTATGAAGTTGATTATAATACTGCACAACTGCAGTCTCAGCACTGGTGAGGCTGAGGCAGGGGAATTTCCATGAGTTTGAGGACTCTGGTGAAGGCCATGTGACAAGATCATGTCTGAGACAACAAACCTCTGGATCAAAACAGATTATATGCATAGAAATAAAAAATAAATGAGCCTTCCTACACATAGAATGAATAAAGATTTAAATGCATGTTTGAGGGCTGGAGAGATGGCTCAATGGTTAAGAGCACTGGTTGCTCTTCCAGAGGTCCTGAGTTCAATTCCCAGCAACCACATGGTGGCTCACAACCATCTAGAATAAGATCTGGTGCCCTATTCTGGCATGTAGCCATACATATAGGCAGAATATTGTATACACAATAAATAATCTTTAAATGCATGTTTGAACTATGA